CAGATATTTAGTTTCATTTGTATAAATAATTCTAATTGATTATGAGGGTAGACACCAAACCTTTGGATATGTTTCCTTTAAACATAGTATAAAAGCGTTAAAAACGCTGATTAACGTATATTTAGATGTATTTTGGATAAAAGTTTTATTAATGTCGTGGGTTCGATTCCCAGCGGAAAGGTCAACGAAAAATCCAATAATGAATGTATGTTCAGCTCAAAGCCTCTACAAGCTGAATACCAGCGCTGAGGAAGGCCTGAATTCGGATCCTATGCAGTCTCCAAGTTTAAGGGGACAGCCGTCGCCTATTGAGAGTGATATTATGTCGCCACATCATGTAAGTAGAACTAAAGTTAACTGCTTAAAGCAATTTTAACGTGATACTAAGCGAGAGAGATGAGATAAAATGTGGGATGGAGAGTGTTCAGAGGAGTTGTTCGGACTAATACTTGCAGCTGAGTTTCATTATCGGACGTCAAGACAAAATACAAAATACCATCCGTATCACCTTGACGTCCGTCATTCCAACAACTGAGCGTTTCTTAAGGCAATTTCTGGCGCGCACCACCACTATGTAGAACCAGCTGCCCACTGAAGTATTTCCGAACCAATTCGACTTAGGGTCTTTCGAGAAAAGAGCGTACTAATTCTTAAAAGGCCGGCAGTGCGCCTTCTAGCCTTCTGGCAGTGTCCATGGGCGGCGGTATCACTAAACATCAGGTGAGCCTGATCCTGCCCGTTTGCCTCCATTAACATAAAAAAATAAGCTTTTGGTTTGAGGTCGTGTGTTCGAAGTCTTGATGTGCACCAATTTGAGCGTGACTGTGTAACTGATGGCAATTGAAAAATAAAGTTTTATAAATAATTTATATGTATAAACATGGCTTTTAAAAGCGTTTTGGAGTTTACAAGTAGGTAGTAAATAATAATAAATTTATCAAAAATTTATAATTAAAAATATTAATCTTTATATGTCAGTGACACGACAAAACGGTCATATGTAAATGTCTAAATTAACGCACCAAAAACTTGACGTTTATTTAAATGTCATAGTTGTGCGACATCTAACCTAGAGATGCATTTTGGCGGGTTCTTGAAATTGTCAATGTTCAATTTGAGTTTTTAAAGGCAATACTGAACAAAATTACAATTTGTATAGGTTCTATATATTTAAAAATTTATAAAACCTAAACAAACATGTATGCTTAATAGAAACACAAAAATATGACGTCACAAATTTTACACACACATCAATTAATGAGAACCTAAAAATTTAAAAACTAAATAGAAATAGCTATTATTAATGTTTTTTTTAAATTATATATATACTGCTCAAAACAATTAGCGGAACAAGATTTTTCTCCTTTCTATTGCTTAAACTAAAATTAGATTTAAATTAACTTGTACGCTATTTTTTATCTTGTTAATTTGTTAATTACTACAATTAATAGTAAAATTCAATTTGTATTTTTTTTATTAAAAAAAAAATTAAAATGTGCATTGTAGACGAAAAACAAAGTGACGTCTTTGAATTTTCATTACTTTCTAATCACAGAAAACACATTTTAAGTAGTTTTTTTCAATCTTTTGAGTATTAATAGAAATTGAAGTGAGCCTTTTGAGTATTGTTATTCATTGAAGCGAGTGAGTTTAGGTCATAATGCCAGATCTGACTGAATTGCATGTCTCCCGAGCTATCGCTTTGCTTGAAGTGGGTCGAACTATGCGGTATGTAGGAAATGATCTAGGAGTAGCCCCTTCTGTTATCTACAGACTTTGGAAGCGATACCGTGAGACGGGAGAATACTCACGAAGGCGTGGTCAAGGTCGAAAGAGAAAAGCTACACGTTTGCAAGATCGCTACATCGTCAACTGTGCTTTACGTAACCGCACCACAACTGCAAGAGATCTACATAAGAGAAGAGAAGAGATCTAAATACACTAAGGACGGCTACTGGTGTAGAAATTTCCGACCAGACGGTAAGAAATAGGTTGTTGGAAGCCAATTTGAGATCACGCCGACCAGTTCGGGCTGTGCGTCTAACAATTCAACATAGACAAGCTCGCCGACAGTTCGCGCAAAATCACGCTAATTGGCAACTTCGACATTGGAGGCCAGTGCTTTTTACTGACGAATCACGATTCCGTCTAACACGTTGCGATGGTCGTCTCCGTGTTTACAGACGCCCAGGCGAGCGATACAGTGCAGCAGCAGTCCAGGAATATGACAAATTTGGATGTGGCTCTGTGATGGTTTGGGGCGGAGTTAGTTTGGACGAGCGCACAGATCTCGTCGTTGTTCCCGGGCGCTTGTGTGCTCAAACTTACATTGAAAATGTGCTCGAAGATCATGTTTGGCCCGCAGCATATGGTATGGGCCCAGATTTTCTTTTAATGCAAGATAATGCCAGGCCGCATACTGCAGCCATCACGTCAGATTACTTACGACAGCAGGATATCCGTGTAATGGAGTGGCCTTCCATGAGCCCTGACCTAAATCCAAATTTATTGAACACATTTGGGACTTGCTTGACAGGCGCATCCGGAAGCGACCGATTGCACCTCAAACACTGCAGCAGCTCACTGAAGCGTTGATTGAAGAATGGGAGCGAATTCCACAAGAAGATATTCGGAGGATCATACGAAGCATGCCGCGTCGTTGTCAAGCCGTGATTAGGGCTCATGGACACACGTTACTGAAAGTCACTAAAGACGAATATTCAAACGATATAAGAATATTTCTTTGATGGACCTTTTTTATCACCAATTAGTTTTTCGTCTACAATGCACATTTTAATTTTTTTTTTAATAAAAAAAATACAAATTGATTTTTTTTATTAATTGTAGTAATTAACAAATTAACAAGGTAAAAAATAGCGTACAAGTTAATTTAAATCTAATTTTAGTTTAAGCAATAGAAAGGAGAAAAATCTTGTTCCGCTAATTGTTTTGATCAGTATATTATATTATCTAGTTTAAGAAAATTGTAAATACTGAAAAAATACTACAAGTTATAGGATTTGCCACCTCGACATGCAGGATTTTTGAGGAATGACCCATAAAGCGTTGTAGCGATAATTGTATGTCTAATCGACCGCTATTTTAGCTTTATAAAGCGACTTATTTGATTTAGGTTCTGCATTATAAACGTTTTGACAACTAATATTTCCGGTCTTAAACGACCTTCAAGGACGCTGATTGATAATATTTTGTGGTTAGGTAAGGTTTTAAATGAATTTTATTTTGATTATCGTAGCGTAGTAGTTATTATTCTTTTCTTTTAAACATTTTTTCTCACCATAAATGTACGGATGAGTCTTTTTTACCAATCTCAATTGAGTATCCGCGCGATTCCAAGGTAACATCAGCGCCATTGAGAGAACATTGAACTTATATACAAAAACGTTGGAATCGGTGTCGCTATAAGAAGTTACATAGTACGCGCTAGTCACCCACAAGAGGTTTCCTAACGTGGAGAATACCAAAATTTATTTTAAAAAATGTGTAATGTAAATTAAACTTAAATTTCATTGTCGATACAATGTTTCTTGTTCTTCTTACATAAGTTTTTAACCGAAATCACGTGTTTGTTACCATGAGGGATTTATTTCCTGTAAAATAAATGATAAGACGCGGTGTTATCTCAACGTTTATTAAGGCCGAAAATCTTAAAATATAGAATAAGTATAAAAAAGGCCTACATAATCAGTTTATCTGAGTGATATGGATTTTTTATATAACACGCTCAGGACTTGTGGAAAATTTTATCAAAATTCTATGCACACAATTTTTTTTATTAAATACGCTGACACGTCTTACATTCGTGGTTGTGCGATTTATATATTCGCAGTTTTGCACCAAAGATGGCGTAAATTTGTAGAACAATCTTGAATTTTACTATTAAATTTATTTGTTCTAAAATGGGACCATCGTTTAATAGATTCAAGATTCAAAGCCTTTATTTCAACTAATACAAGAGAAAGTTTACAAAATATAAATATATATATATTACATGCGAATTTCTATATTCAACCGTCAACCGTCATCTGTCTCTTTTCATCACAGCGTAAACATAATTTGTCAGAAAGAGACGTTTTGCCGACTAGCCTACAATCTCTCAAAACCAGCTACTTAAGATTGCAAAATTGCAAAGGCCTATGTTATCAGCTGTTATGTCTAATCGTTGACTACGTTATTACTGTCACGCTCTGGAGTTGTGCGAAACTTGTCTCCGTCACTAGACTTTGGTCCGCTCTTATCGCTCGTTATCAATTCACGTATTTGGCGCTAAAATAAAAAAAATTGTAATCTGTCCGTAACCTATATAAGTTTTATTATTTTTAAATATAATAACTGACAGGTGGGGGGCCTCATAGCCTAGCGGTCTTATTAAGTGGCAGCTAGGTGAGGGGTACCGGGTTCGATTCCCGGTTCGAGGGCAAGTTTTAATTTAATTTAAATTTGTTCTCGGCCTTAGGGAGGGTTGTGCGGTACCGGGCGAGTGCTTAAACCGTACATGGAGGACACGGTCGAATTTCTAAAGACAAGCACGAATTATAAAAAATCCTATACTTGACGCTGGCTAATGCACAAATCGTGCCAGAGCCATTAAAAAAAAAACAGACAAGTGGTACGTAAATGATTGTATGGTAACTCTTAAAACGCATTGGATTTGACATGTCACATTTACGACTAAGTCTCAACTCTGAATTTTACCCTTATGTAAAATAAATATATTATAAATAATTTTATTTATTTATATCATTACGCCGTTTACCCGAAGGCGTATCATGGTCTCCTCGGATCTCTACTTGCTACGGTTTTGACATACCCCTCTCGCGTCATCCACTTACATGGCATTCACCATGCATGCTCGGTTATGGGTACTTTTAAGTTGTCCCTTCTCTAGTTCGTCCTGGATTTGGTCCCGGTGTAAGACAAGACCTATCCAACTACTTCACCATCCACAGTTGCGTTGTATATTCTACTTGCTAAGCGATTATAAATAATTAGAAATTTAAAATAAACAAGGGCGCTGCTCTTGACTTTATATTTGTTTCGTTGATTTGCGGCAAGTATCATGTGATCTATCTATCATTTACCTCAGAGCTGATTCGTTATAGAGAAGAGCATTACAATTGTTTGCTAAATATCGCTTATCATCATCATCATTCTCTTTGTTTGGTGCATTTCTGGACGTAGCCCTCCTCCATTTTCCTCCAGTACGTACTGCACTCCACGTACTGCCTCTGCATCCACTGGGAGCTAACCTCCTTGACGATGTCGTCAGTCCACCTGGTGGGCGACCGCGCGGTCTTTTGTTCTCCATTTAAGGAGCCTGCGGGTCCATCAGTTCTCGCTTCTATTAGTTGCTAAAATGGGTGTGTTCGGGGTTGGGATAAATTATTAAGATATTTAAAGGGATAATTATTTATTTAATTAGCAATGGACTAAACTAGTGGGGTGAGATGAGATTGGGATAAGAGTCGCGCCCGGTACGAGGACTGAATGCGAACTAACTTAAGTGAATATAATAAGATATATATAAATGAACACACAAGCAAATCATATTGCATGGTGTCATATACATTGCAATACCTGTACGGTTGTAAACCGTACAGGGTGCAATAGCATATGTTTTTTACGGTGCAAGAAAAACCGTACAGGTTATAGTTATAGTAGCTATTTATGTAATAATGTTTATAGAAATAAAAGCTATAAAAAATCGGCACTTTTCAGCCTACTCCTGATTCACCCCGACCATTTCCGACGTACCGTTCCAATATTTTCCTTCACCGTATAGAAAAATCTCAGGGCACATACAAAATGTTATTAATTATTCTCGTTATGGTATAATTAAAAGTCCATATGTAGTAGAAAAAAAATTTTTTTTGGTCGAATATAATACATCGCGCGTCACCGATTTGACTGCTACCACTATATTTTTATTTAATTGAATTTTTAATCAATTCTACGTAGTATGATTGATTAATGACGTTTTGTTATTTATCTATACGGTCCGATATGCCTTCAAGTTGTTCCGTACGACTTTATTCATGTTAAAACAGAATAAATAAAATCAATATTTACTCAGAAACTATTTAGGTTCAGATTTCTGTTTATGTATAAACTGTTCAGTAGTTCAAGAGATTATTAATAAATCATAAAAAATAAGTCTCTAGTGCTGTACTTAGTTTTTTTTTATCAAGTTTGTGAGATGTGTCAGGACTTAATAATTTTTTTTTTAATATACCAAGTAGATCGGACCCCATACTACAGCTATGAAACCCAAATTTTTGAAGGCATCAATAAATATATGACAACCAAGTGATTTTTTTTTATTTCTAATAAGACAAAATATGTACATCAAATATTACCCTGTTAGGAACAGTTTTATAGGAAAATTCAATTGTCGTTTTTACTATTTTTGTTTACTTATTATTTTTTTTCCACCGTTTAAACCTTCCCTGAACTTCCACAAATATTTCAAGATCATATAAGTCCATCCATTCTCGGGTTTTAGGGAGAAATTCATTATTTATTAATAACACTAATCAATTAGTCTTTTGACGAAGATCTCTTCTGAATGTCGACATGTTGATCTGTCCTTCGCTATTCTGTATCATTCTAGCTCGGTTTCCGGCAATTCGTATATAAACCTAAATAGTTAGAAACGTAATAATAACAGTTATATATCATGACAGTCGCGAGCGCAGTCGCGTGCGCAGTCGCTTTCTCCAGGCGGATCGCCCGGTTCGCCACGCGCGGGTTCTCCCCGTGAACCGCGGCGTACGCATTTGCACGCGGAACAAAAACGTCGGTATAACATCAAAAATGGCTTCGATACCCTCCAGGCGCTTATACCACATCTCAACACGAACCCAGCTGCTAAGGTAAGCATATTTTATAGTCTTCATGGTTTAAGTACTGGGATTTTAAAGAAATATAGAAAATAACTTATTTGTATGTAGATATAGTAAATAAAGTAAAATATGTGTAAATGTAAATGTGTTTTACAGCAAAAGAGAAAAGTGATTAAAATAAAGATAAAATATTGTCGATATACCAAAGCTTACGTAGTATATAAATAGAATATTTATTATAGAATATTATATTGATAGACAAAAATATCAATGACAGACCGATTTTATCTGTTTCACAGGAAATTGATTATCTATTCATACATAAAAGTTTTCTCAAATTCATGACACTTATTCAATACTTTCTTTTTATCGCACAAATTTATAAAGAATTGATTGATTTCTTAAATGTGCAATTTTTAAAACTCCAAATTTGGAGCTGCCCGTCGAGGTATTTCCAGTTCGACTTCCTTCAAGAAAACAACATACCAATTCATAAAAAGACCTTTTGGCACTGTGATCATGGGCTTAACATCAGATTTTTTTGTCTTCTATAAAAACAGGATAAATATTACACAATATTGAATATAATTTTCCAGATAAGTAAAGCGGCTATGTTGCAAAAAGGGGCCGAGTATATTAAACAATTGAAAGCGGAGAGGAATCAAATTAAAGAAGAAATGGAGAATTTGAGGCAGCAAATTGATTGCTTAAATAATTCCATATCGTAAGTATTTAACAATTAAAATTGGTTAAAGCCAGTAATTGTCACAGTCAAGCTTACGGAACTACGACCAGCCTTGCGATTCTGAACTCACTTTTAGAACTCTCACAGCGGTTTTCACAGCGGCGGTCGCGCTCAAATCAGTCGTGAAGCAGTCATTTTACAATAAACTACATGCTCCTTCCTTATCAGAATGCCAAATCGTAAAATGACTGCTTTACGACTGATTTGAGCGCGACCGCCGCTGTGTGAGTTACAGAATCGCAAGGCAGTTCCTCGCTCGGCTGGACACATGATAATTTGGGACTGTACAGTTCAGGGATAATTAACATTCTAATAGGAAAAAATATTTGTGAAATCAGCCCATTAGTAAGACGTTATTAGATACAAAATTATATAGGTTCAAATAAATAACTGTTCTTGAATAATCAAGATCATAAGATCATGCTACCTGTTTTGAGATTGATTCTGACAAAATTAGGAATGCATAAGGATCGGACAATAATCACATTTCATTCAAGTCTTTTTACCATATTTTATCTAGAATCAAGATACAGTGGTGATAATCGTGAAAATACTTTCGCGAAAATTTAGAAACTCTGTTTTCACCAACAAATATTTTTTAATAATAAATTAGTGTCGCCGTATACATTTTAATAAAATCGAAAATACAATATTCCTTGATGAAGATTCAATTTAAAAAAAAATCTACAGTAAGCTTTTTGTTGTTTTTATTATCGTGTAATTGTTTTTATTAAATTATATTAAGTAAAAAGTAAAACGCAAGTCATATGGCTAATAAATAAATTAAAAAATTAGTGATCAAATCGTATATTTTATTCTTACTAAGGAAAAATCATTAATAAAACATCTGTTCTATGTACGTGGTTACGGCGCTACAACTTCTAGGTCTTCGGTCTAGGTCTTCATCATTTATTTTCCTAATAAGTATAATAGGTGATCCGTCGGTGTCACACATAGATTTCCGATTTAAGGCATGTCGGTTTCCTCACGATGTTTTCCTTCATACAAGCGAGTGTCATTCGACCGATGCGCACGCGCAATTGACTAACACTGCAAGATTAACTTAAGTTCGACGTAATACCACCTGCGTATATTGTATTTTAGAAACTGCCATTCGCTGCTACCAGCGACGGGAGCGCCGGTGTCGCGGGGCCGCGCTAGTCGTCTCCGGGAGATGTTCGCCGCTCATGTCGCAGCCAGAACCATGCATAATTGGAAGTATTGGCTGGTATCCTTTTCATAAATGCACGGGATGATTTAAAATGTATGAACTGATTTAGTCGTAAGAATTTTTAAATTCGGTCCCGTCGTCAAACGAAACAAAAAAACGAATTGATATCTACCCCCCCTTCGGGTTCTTTGAACTCCATTTGAAAGAAAAAAGAATAAACTTTATTACACATAATTAAAAAGGATGTTTAGTTTGAGAACGTGCACTAGGATTCCCCGTGTGGGCTCTTCCGTTTAAAATATTAACAACAATTATTTCAGTTTTAGAATTAAACTACCGTTAAAGAAACTATGCAGCTGGAATTATTTCTTTTGGTTTTTAGCGTTGTCAACCAAAATTTTCATCCTTATAATATGTGGTCGCGTTCTAGGCGATACGATTCTGTCTGTACATCATAGAAATCATAAATAGAAATTGTTATAAAAAGGGACAATAAAAATGTGATTAGTTAGTAGTTTCTGATATTGATGTTTCCAACTTTTTCTTCTTCTATCTATGATGTCCTGAGCTAGTAAAACAGTTTAGCGTGGTAAGCGCAGCCCTAGTGGAGTCCTTCAGCGCGTGCGTTTCGTGCAGCAGTCGGGCAGACCTCGTACGGACAACTCTACTTTGGGCAGAGCAGCATTGCTCACTTGTTGAGATGAGGCCAGGTATTCACCTATTTCTACTTAATTATTTATTCATGTGATAAATATGGTTTAATAACTGCCACTTCTCAAAGGGCGTCATCGAAATGATTATAAATATAATAAAAATTTAGAAGAATTTGTTAAAAAAAAACAGTTTAAAATGAAATCTAAATTGTAATTTAAAATATATATAATTAACTTTGTTATGGAAGAGCTAGGATTCCAGACACAGGTATTTTTTATTTAAAAGGGTTCCCAAATCTTACACTTTGTAATGCCTATCTACTTATAATTATATATTATAATAAACACATTTTTTTTTATATACTGATATATAGAGAGATATTTAGCATTTTTTATTCACACCTGAACGAATTTTGTTATATAAATAAATATTTAACTTATTTTATTTACAGCGGTATTGAACTCGCTACGTGTTTTATGTACGACCACGGATATTCTTTCGAGTCCCGAGAGATTGGCAGAAGAGGCGCGGGCGGCCGCCGCCGCCGTCAAGAAAGAACCGACCTAAATCTGACGTCACCAGACACGCCCTTATAACCCTTGTACGTTTATTCGTGTACATGTGAATATTACAGATTTTTGCTGCAAAACAATTTTTCCCGCGAAATTTAAAAACACTTATAGCGGTATTAAAGTTAAAATTGGATAACTGTTCGGGAAAAAGTTCTGTGCGGCTTAATTTTTAATAAAAACGCAGTAACCTTTTTTAAGATTTTCTTAAGTGGTCTCAGATGATTGCGTGTGGTGTACATGACTCGAAGTTTATGAAGTCATGATTTAAAAGAGGGTAGATCTATACATTATGGTAATTTTACTATTCAATATATAGCCTTTGGGAAACTAATTGCGTATAAAAAACTAAATTTGTCATCTGTCATTTCATCGCAGAGTAAACACAATTTGACAAGTATCGATGCTTAAATATTTGACAGGTTTAGTTTTCAGAAATGGTCGGTTACACAGACAAAAAAAATTGGCAGCGTCTCTGGTGATGTACACATCAAAATAATATATTATTCAATCATGCTTTTAACACGTTAAATTTCTGTTAATTTGTTTAATTGATGTTAAAATCTTTAAGAGCCTGAAATATGATATTGAAAATATTTGTCCAATTGCCTAGACTAGACGTTGTCTTTCAAGTGCCCATGCGCATATTAACAAGTTACGTGCGGTGATTGTCTATGGCTCATTTTGTTAGCTGCTTGTTATTAAATACTCAAAGGGTCTAAATTATGGCATCTATAAAGTTAAAAGGGTGTTCGGATACTAATCTTGAGTTAATGTGCAATTATTGGTGTTCACATGGTTTTTTGATTAATTCGATGCACAAAATTATGGGAATTTTATTAAAATTGACATGGAATAATTCTAGGTTACGTAACAGAAACATGCAAAATTCAATTCAAGTGACCGTAATGTTCAATTTAGATTGTCACGGTATTGATTGAAAACGAATTTGCAACAAAATTGCACATAACATACGTACTAACCGACATAAAATGGTTCCTCTTTTACGAAATTATTTAATTATTGATAATTTCTGTAGCTTATACATGTCGCAGCCAACTAGCTTAATAAGCCGTTCAATTAACAGCCTAGCCTTTTAGTTAAAAGCGCCGTTTAAAACGTTTAAAAAAAGTAGCGTTTGTAACAATATTTAATCAATTGGCTGGCTAATGCTTAGGCCTGTCGTACGATAGAGTGACCATGTGGCAGAAATAAAAAAGATGAAACATTTGACATAAAAAATATTTCTTTAAAAATTAGTATTAATAATCACAGCTAAATTCTCATTATTATTGCCACTTCACTCTTCCATTGTACTTGTTGTCTTTCATAAAATTTTGGAAAACACCATGACTGTTGTAGTTTGCTGATGCCATATTGACAGTTTGAAGAGTTTCGTTTTGAGTTTGAGAGTGGCAGAAAGTGGAACTTAATTAAAATTAACAGTCAGCAGGCTAGGCAAGTAATAAAACGTCAACGATTCATGTAATTTGCCGCAGCTGTTTGATCGACTAGCTGAATATCTTTCAGGCCGCTAGTTGAACGGCGCTGTTAGTTAAGAGGCTAGGCTATTAATTGAATGGCTTATTAAGCTAGTTGGCTGCGACATATACACATGGATTAAAGGTTATTATGGAACAATTTTGTTATAACACACACTTACGCAAAGGTCGTGACAATGTAAATTGAACTTAATTGCTAAGTGCCGTAGGTGTCGTCAAAACCAAAGATTAAACGTAACCTTCCCCGTCCCGTGAATACCAATCTAGCGTTAAGTGAAACAGAGAATTTATTACATGTCGAGATTTAACTAGAATATTTAATATTACGGCGTAGGTAAGCGAATATTTTTATATGACTACACAAATATTTTTTTAATGTAAATCGGTGCCAACGTACGTTGTAAGTTGTTATGTAGTGATAAATGTTGTATGTTGACTGGTACGCGCGGAGAGCGCTCAATGTCAGCTGAGTTTATATTGTTGTCTAAAATACAATGGAATGAAACCTTTGTTTTATTTATTTTAATTGTACAAATCATAACTCAGTCTTCACAAGACAAACTCATTCATAAAAATGCTTTAAAACATTCATCTTTCATCGTAAACATTAATGCAGTCTGAGTTTTACGAATAATTATGGAATAAAAATACTAAAAGTACGAATATTTCACATTATCAAATGTTTTTACAAAAAGCACCTTTGGGGTATTATTTTCAGCTTGTAAAAGTACTTATTTGGTTATATGAGGTGGGCGGGAGTTGTCAACATACATGAAAGTCGACTTGACGGATCGGACAATAAACTGTTGATGTTTCCTTGTTCTACTAAGCGGCCTTTTTCCAGATTTACGCAGGTGTCGTAATCACGAACTGATGATAACCGGTGCTAAAATAATAATGATATCATTAGGAATCTAGTTTCATTGTTTTATTTATAAAGGTGTTACAAGTATGTATTAGATATTGTTAGTACTTTCGTGAATCCTTCGTATAAATAGACTGGACAAATCATTAAGTAAATGAAATATTATGAATTAGATCGAAATACCTGCAATTAAAATTACATTCAGTCCGATAAATCTACAATATTTTCCGGTACACAACAACGAACCATGGAATTAGGTTTTTGAAGTTATACTTCTTTTGGCGCGTTAGGGAAAATAAAGAGAGTAAATTTTTACTGTGCGCGCGCGCACACCGTCACAAAAAACAGACACCCTGAATATCTGTTCAAACATTGGTAAAACATTCTGGGCCGCTAGTTGGCGCTTGCTCTGTTTTATCGACAAGTTGCATTCTGTCATGGCGTAGTGTTTTTCAGAGTCGTGTTTATTTAAACCAAAATAATGATTTCTATACGAGACTTTACATAGTGTTTATTGTAAAATATCATGATTAGTACATATTATATCGTTTCGATCGGTAGTGACCATTAAAATGAACAAGCAAAATGCAATTCGAAGAGAAAATTATTACGCCAAGGAAGTATAACTTTTAACGCGTGTACATTAGTACACACGCTATTTTTAAAAATCAATTTATAAGAAAGTACGTACCGCAACTGTGATGATAGTAGTATGTGGTGCGAGTGTCGCAAGAGCGCGGAGTAAGGTACGTTGAGCGGACGCGTCGAGCGCTGCGGCTGGCTCGTCCAGTAACAAAGCGGCAGCTGGTCGTGCGTGTAAAGCAGCTCGTGCCGCACACACACGACCAACGCGTCCACCGCCAGACCAACCGTTATTGCGATTGCTTACTGTGCACTCTAAAAAAAATATATGATGCACAGGATAAATTCACTGTGTATGAGCTGTAATCTGTGTTATTGACCACAATTGTGACCAATTAATCAGTCTGTTTGATTTGTGTATTTTTAACTTACCAATGCAAAAAATTTGGTAAGTTTCCAAGTCACTAAATGCAGTGTTCAATAAGATTTTTATCTACTCACCAAGCCCAGCGGATTGAGCCGTAACAAAATCATACAGTCCAACAGCTTTTAAACACTGCCATATTTCTTCATCTGTGTGGACCGCAAGTGGGTCTAGATTTTCCCTCAGTGTCCCTGAGAACATTATGTTTTCCTGTGGTAATACCACGATACGATGTCGCAAGGGTTTCAATGGAACTCGAGTGATATCTTGGCCGTCAATAAGTACTCGACCGCTATGTATTTCCGTAGCACCAGCGCATGTTAGCAACAGAGTTGATTTACCGCTGCCACTACGACCGCACACGGCGACCTGAAAAAATATGTTCGTATAAAAACTAACTTTTAAATATTGTTTTTTTTAATCTGTTAGGGAATTATCAAAGGCTAATCAATGACAAATACCTTCTGTCCAGGCTCAACAACGAAGTTTACATCCTTGAGAATGATTGGAGCACCCGGTTGATGTTGTACATTGACATCTTGGAACTCAATTCTCCCACTTCGTTGCCATCCAGCGGGTATAGGATCTGTTTGCGACACAAACATTCTTTTTAGTAAATATTGAAAAAGTGGGTACTTACTTAATGTATTAAAAAGTTAAAAATAACAAAGAATATATATATATATATCTTAGATGTACTAACAGTCGTCTCTGTAATCTTCTTGAGGCACAATAGTATCAGAGAGTATTCTTTCTAAGGATGCCAGTTGCAGGTGAAGATCTGCGCGGCACTTAGCAAGATGAGCAAGGTATACAGGTAATAATAGAGCATAGGTTCCAGCTAAACCGGCAACCGACCCCGAGCTTTCACTATACAATGCAACTGATAGTGCTGTGAACACTGTACACACTCCAACAAGATCCTAAAAAATAAATTTCTATAAACAATAATGTCTTAATTTGATATTAAATTTCTATATGAGGGGGACGGTACGACAGTTCAGTTATAAAGAATTACTTACCAAGCCAAGTCCAAGCCAACGGTTAGAGGCATTTAGTAGTAACAGAGCATTATGATTATCGTCTACCCTCTTTCGAAATATGTCGCGGAGACGAGCTTGTAACTGTCCCGCTCTTACTGTGACCGCACCCGCGCTTGTCTGCGCTGTCAGCGACACCACACTTGCCGCACTACTTGCTTCAATACGCTGAAGTTCGCTTTAAAATCAAAAGCAAGTAAAAAAAATATCACTTCTTAAAAAACTATATAGTTTCAAATTAAACCACTACCATATACCATATTACTAACCTTGCATTTTTTAAATAAACAGATTGTAACGCGAAATAGAAGAAAGCAGCCGGTAGTAAAACAATCAACGTCCACGGAGATAGAATGATATTAACAAGAAAAGCTGCTCCACATAAGAGAGTTAATTGTACCCATCGGCTTATTGCCGTTGGTAATTTCTGAAAAAAAACAACAATTTTTGAAGTTATACTTCTTTAGGCGCGTTATGAAAAATTGATGAGAGTGAAATTTTACGATGCATTTTGAGACACAAAGTTGTCAGTGTGATTATAGCGTGCGCGAGCGAGATGGGAATAAGACAATCTACAAGTAAAAA